GCCACAGCATGCAAAGGACGAGGACGATAGCCGCCCCCACCTCAGGCTGCCTACTCCCCCCCCCCTCCTTCACCGGCCCCGCAAGCAGTGGAAGTACCAATGTGCATAAAACCATAAAAAAAATCGCACATCTGCTTTCTTTTTGCTGTTATTACTATTATTATATATATACAACATTTTTCATATTTTTATTCTTGCAACTTTTTCCCCGCTCTTTTGCTGTCACTGTCCCCTCTGATTCGGCGGCCACAATAGCAGGGGAACACGTCCTGCGAGCCGTCTAGAGACGCGTGCATATAACGCGTGGAACAAGACCACACAGAGCTGTCCCGCATCCACCCACCCTGGACGCAGCAGTTACCCCCTGGCAAAGCGGCGACGAGAGCAACACTTACCGGGGACGCCGACGACTCACTTTCATCCGCACTCGCTGCCGTCCTCTCCTGGTTTTCCAGCATGGTGTATATATTGCCAAAAAGAAAAAGAAGAAAAAAAATCAAAAAAAAATGGATAAAAGACAATAATGAACGGCATTTTGTCCTAATAAACATTTTGCCAAGCTTTGAGTGTTTGTGAAGGTTTTCATGGCGTGCGTGTGTGCGAGTCCACCTCGCTTTACACATGCTTCCCTCCACCTTTCCTCTCCCTTCCTCCCCTTTCTTCTCAGAGGAGATAATGGACTGAATGTGACGGCAAAGCAATCGAGACGTCAGAAACGGCAGCCGGCACACGCAGACACACACATCAGACGCCCACATGCATTCCCCTTACACGCAATACCTACATACGTAAGGGAGTTATGACACACACGCTCTCGGACAGACAAAAAGGAAAAAAAAGCGGAAACAAAAGCAGGAAAAGGCCAACTCCATTCGAAATGGGAAGCAAAAAAAAAAAACGTTGAGCGAAGTATGTACACAAAAAAAAACAGAAGAAGAAAAAAAAGGGGGAAAACAAAGGGAGGACAAAAAAAACAAGGAATAAAAAGACACTTCACTGGAGCACAGTACGTGCAGACACAAATTTATAGAAGCAACAGCTTTTGTCATTGCAGTGGTGGGTGCCACTACTCCTATGATAGCGGTCATTAGGAATGCATAGATTGCATCGGCGAGGAGCACAAAACGGGGCCATTGTCAAACTCGTCGCGGAAAAAAACAAAGAAATTCATGGCGCTTCGCTCCATCACGGCCACTATCCCCAAGTATTCCAGATAGAGTTGCAACAACCGAACCTCGTTCTTGTAACGCACAAGCATTATACATTTTTCCTCCATCATCTGGAGAAGCATATTGCGTATACGCTTCCACTGTATTTGTCCTATGCCCGGTTCATATGACATGAGTGACGTGACGGGTTCAGTGCTCCACGCAAATTCCAGTTCATTAGAGCGCAAGATATGACCAAATTCTAGCATCTCACACATCGTAATTTCGCAGCGTTGAAGATGCTCCAAGGAGACAGGTAGAGATATACCGCTTTTGAGGTTGGCAAAACACATTGGGTAGCAACTTGGGAGAATTCCTGATTCCGCCTCAGTGGCGTCTTCCAATTCAAAAATATCTCGCGCATGCAAAATGGGAAGCGGGGCAGTCAGTGAGCCAGTGACGCTCACATGTGGCGTAGCGGCGCTTATCGCCTGATCGCCGTTCCCATAAAAGGAGTGGTAGGTGAGCGAGGCGTCCCTGCCGGGGCCCACGTCATCTTCGACGGTGTCACTACCCACTGAGAGCGTGTTATCATCGTCCGAGAAGTTCCGCGTGTTACTCGGAGTGTCCCCGGCGAGGCTGCTCACGGCACTGTCGGGCCTGCTGCGGCTCGTGAACCTTGGAGGAATACGTCTTTGTCGGAGTTGCGCACCTACAACATTTCCATGAGATCTTGAAAGTATGGAGCCAACGGAGGTCTCCTGCACTAAATCAAAGTGAAATGTGGAGGAAAAATTCATCCCTCTGATACTTGGACCGCATCTCACGGAGCATAATCCCACGAGAAACGCACTCCATCGGCAGTAGGCTCCGTGGCTCCAACCGCTTGTGACAGCAGAGTTGCTACATGAACTATGCATGGGTGCACCCGTACTGTCCCTTAATACTGGCCGATATGAGAACAAAACCTCCTCCCATAGTTTATATCGGAGTTGTAAGACGGCGTATTCAATGGAATGTATGCGCAACGCGGCATTGACTCGCCCAAGCTCGCTTCGACTCAGAGAGCAAGGCGTAGGTGGCTTGATGGGTGTGTTGCCGTTTTTGTTTCTAGAAACACCAGTGCCTAAGTCAGGGACAGGGACAGCAGAGGTTTTCCCTTCGTGTTGCCTCCTCCACGGGCGCACCGCAATTCGCAAACCCGGCCAGGATATTTTTTCTATTGCGCAATGTGTACTCTCAGCGCTAAGTGACAAGTAGCCCGCGACAGTTGTATAGAGGTCAGTGTCCAGAATATTACCAAGAATGGTTGCAACAATCTTCTCTGCCGCAGTGAATACAGCCGCTGGACTGTACACATTTTCCTTCCAAAGGCGCCATCGTACCAACTGCTGGTCGAGGCTAAGTACGTAAAGCTCCAGGACAAACGTTTTCCACAATTCCATCCGCTGCTCCATTTCAAATGCGCACAACTCATATATCATGGCATAGCGGTGCTGGTTACAGAACACGGTTGTCCTACAGCCTCTGTTTGTCGCAATTAACGGGGACACCTTTCTCCCATAAGGATTTCGCAAGGAAACGGAGGGGTTAGGGCACCTAGCGGTTATGTTGTCATCGGTCTGCCTTAGCGACCCTCGGGACATAACGCGCAAACCAGAACACTTTTTTCTATTTTGAAAAGCGCCCTTGGCATCCCCACGCTCTTCCTTTTCCTCCTGTCCCTCATGGTGGGCGCCGCGCCCCGTCTCGCGCCCTTTCAAGGCTCGGCTGCGGGCAGCCGTCGGGCCACTTGAGGCGGTGGTACCCGTGACATTCCTCAGCGGCATCGCAACCAGCGCTCCAATCGCTGGAGCGCGGGCAGAGAACGCGGACGGCGGACCAGTATTCTGTCGAGGGGAGCAGTTACTTCCAAATGAACCGCCCCTACGCGTACATAACAAGCTGAGTCCCGTCTTAAATGGTGACTCTTTCGGCATGAAAAAAAAGGGCTGCTGTCGCCAAGAAAAAAAAATGACTTTGAGAGTGTCGCAAGAGGCACCACCTCCCAGAGACACCCACGCACGCAGAAAGCAGCAGCCCCACCAACGCCAGAGAACCCCAATCGAAGAGGCGATTGTGGGGCGGAAAAGGGAGCAAAGCAGAATAGAAATGATAAGAAGAAAGGAAAGGGGGAGTGAGAGAGAGAAAGTGAATTCACCTGAATGGAACTGAGAGCCAGAGTACAACAATCTTATATAAGGAGAAATAGCAAAACAAATCAGAGGATCAAGTATCGTCCGTTGGCCCTCTTCATGCCCTTTCCCTTTCTGCCCTATCCTTAGGCAAAGGTTCTGTAAATTTAAATCAGAAACTGATGCTCCCTTTTCAAAGACTTAAAGAGGCCCACAACTAGCAAGAGAGAGAGAGAAAAGAGAGAGAGAGAGAGAGAGAGAGAAGAGAGAGAAGAGAGAGAAAGT